GCTTTCTCTTCTTCATGCACCCTGTCGCTCTATTCAGAAACACATGCAGAGAGAGAAGTGGACAGAAAACATACATTTAAATAGAGACTCATCTGTAATCTGCACATCACCTTCCCTTGGTCACATGTAGCACAAGATCCTCACAAAGGCACAATCGCCTAGATTTCTCTTGCATGGCTGTCTCTCGAAAACAAAACTAAAATACTTAAAACGGCTGCAAAGATAAAAGTAGCAGAATTATAATAGGAGACAGCACACATAAAGAGGGAGAGGTGAGAACATGATAACAAGTGACTCGATGTCAGGAGTATCTATCTGCCTCATCTTTTACGTTTACAATGCCAGCCTTGGCTGTTAAAGACTCTCTCCTGTGTGACGGTTTCTATGTGCTGACTATTAAGTGTGTGCATGTCTGCGTTTCTGTGTGTATGTTGTTCTGACAAGATATAAAGTAAGAAATGCTGTGTGTTCCCACTTTGAGAGCATATAATCACACCCTAACAACTCTGTTGCTGCCTGGAGCTCTGGAGGAGTGGGATGGGAGATGGGGGGAAGAGACGTTTGAAATGAAAGGGTACACACACGTGCAGAAAGCCACCTATGTCAGCAAAAAGCTTTGTACTGCTGATGGTTAACACTTCCCTTGAACCCTTTAGAAATGTTGATTGAGCGTTGTGGTCATAAGTGTTTATGTGCTGCAGAATTGCCTTACAACACGTCATTGTAGCGAGGTAGAAAAAGGTCAATTGCCCCTAAACCCTTTCTGTGTCTTTCCATTAAGCTACTTCTTTCTGTTATGTGGTGCATTAATTACTTTCCTTCATCTAGTGCTTCACATAATAATTTACTTCTGCTCTTATTTCCAATCAGTGTAATTTATTTGTGCAGTTTTCCTTATAGGAATTAAAGGTCTGAGGATATAGTAACTTGTGTTTTTCAAAAGCCATTAACCACTCTTAGACAAATGTGACCTTGGGCTATATCATTAGAAACTACTTCGCTAACAATTGTCTTTTCCAAAATCCTTCAAAAACCGTTTGGCGTATTTGACTTCTCTGATAATAACCCAGTAATCATTTAACTACTCTTCCTGTCTTCTTTTTCTCACATTTAGTTTTTTACCTCCAGCTTAAGTGTGTTGGGCGGCAACCAGTTTGATCAATTATTCACATGACATTTCAGGGTACATTTGTCAACATGTTTATTCCAGGGTGCTTGGTGAATATAAGATCAGCATGCCCCTTGGTACAGGCACTGAATGAGCCAAACTTACACCGGCTGTATTTGTGTGTGTCTAGCTGTTCTCATTCACAATACTTAAATCCACGAAAAGTAAGGCACTCATTTTCATACTGTATATTCATATAGGACTTGCATAGCTGCCTTTAAACAACTAAGGGGGCGTAGTTTAAAGAGCGTCTCGGGGAGGAAGTCTGAATGGATAGATGGTAAAACAAAAACGTTCCCCTCCGTGGAGAGCTCTGTCCGAGTCAACATTTACTTATTTAAGATGCAGGGGGTTACGTTGGCGCCCTGCTCACTCGTCTTGCTGGAAATGTATAGGACAACGTACAATAATATTTACTTTTCGTAAGATACAAACTGTTTTATAAGGATTGTTGAGTGTGTGTGTGTAGGAGGAAATCTTGCAGTAATCTGTTAGGGATAAACTGTGTGTGCGTTTGACTGAATGTATAAATGTCTATGAGTGAGTTGTGCTGTGTGCATGTGTGTGTGTCGGCAGGTTTGTCATGCAGTGGAGCTGGTGGCGTCTCCTGGGGTCTTTTCGCAGTAGGGCAACACAACAGACCCTGATTCCAGCAGCAGTGAGCAGATGGCTGAGTGTGTTAGCATGCCTGCACCGTGCCAGGGGTCAGAGGGGGATGTTTAGCCAGTCAGGAGGCAGCGCACCTCCAAATGAGATCCCTAACCTTGTGCTACTTAACATGACACATTTTCCAATCAAGTGATACATGACTTCTTCACCTCTCTTTTTAAAATGTCTAGCATCTTACCAGGTCAATTATTTATATATATCTTAAGTATAGAAACTCGTATGGTTCTGTAACCCATGCAATCAACATGTGCTCGGGGACTGGGGACCTTTCTCAAAAAAAGGAAAGAATTCCACAATTTGTTGTTTCAAAAAATAGATTGCTTTTCTTCCATCCATGAAGATCGGTTGCATCCATTCCTTACATCCGTGGACACTGTGTATTTCTAGAATGCACTTTATGTTGCTGATAAAGTTATGAGGATAATACACCAAGAGGAGTCTTGGTTGCAGTGCGGGGTGCTCTTAGTATCTTTTGTTATGTTCTTGACTGGAGTGCAAATGACATGCTCAGTGAAGTGATGTTTTTCAGAGACTTGTCAAATGAGTGCTTATGATCTGGACATTGAGAGGTTTCTTCTGTGATTTATTTTTGGTTGGGTGGACAGCTGTTGGTGAGAAAGTTGCTTCCTAGAGTTGCCTAAGAGTGGGGCATAACAGTCATGCAAATTAAATGATTGGCATAGAGGTCAAGAGGTGCTCCAACTTATGATCACAGCAGGTCATTTCCATAAAGATACTCCATGCCATAATGTAAAGAGCTGGTTGCCCTCTGATTACAGGAAATATGATATGTCTAACGCCATATCGTTTATATTGATAATCATTCCACAACTATGTACGGTACTAGAAGGTTTTCATAATCAATTCCCACAAATGTTAATCAGAGGCTTTCTGTAGAATTCAGCTAAAATTAAAAGGCAAAACTGATTTTCAAAGAAGAGCCAAAACTTCAGTTTCTTTGTGTGTCTTTCCAGGAAAACCAATAATTCACTCTCTAATGAGTCAGTTCACACTCCAGCAGGCAGGAAACTTTCAGGGAATGTATTCATGTTTATATTCCTTGGTAAGATAAATATTCCATCTTCCCCTATGATGAATGCAGACTTTTGCCTGTGGTCAAAAACCTGAGAGGAAACACATGATAAAAATGTGGCATGCTGCAAAAAGAGACAACCCTTGGTTTGATGGGGGGATTACATTGTGTATCATAGTTGCACAGACAGAATGACATACAAGAGTAAACTAACAGACTTGGATCAATAAATCAATGTAATCCTCTCCTACTTCCCTGCAGAGCCTTTTCATCTTCACAACCCCTCCAATTTTCTCTTTCTCTCTCATAGATAAGCTTACAAATATTTTAGACTGCAGTACATAACAGATGCACTTTGTATACCTGCAGTGAGTGTGTGCCTCTCTGGGCTTTGAGCCACTGGAAATGGCCATGAGGCTGCTGAACTGCGCCATTGTTGCCTTTCCAAAGGGTGCTCTCTAGGTAAGGTCAATTATTTGATGAGAATGGGGGCCGATAAACAGCTGCTAAATACCACTAAGCTTCATGAAGCACGTATTGACTGTGAGGAATTAGCATCTTAGGGAAAGCACATGAAATGAAAATAAAAAATGATCTTGTGGATTGTTAGAATAGTTTTTTTATCGGTCTTGAAACTGCAGGAAGCTGGTTTATTGTACTGAGCCTAGGCAACAGATTTTGTCGGATACCTCCAATATCAGATAAATGTCTTATCTATCGTTGGATCCACTAGCAGCCCATGTGTGCTACTAACACAAATGATGAGGTGAGCAAAGCTCTGCCACTTCCTCTGACTGTCTTTCCTACAATCTGCTGAATGCAGCTGTTTGATACAGATTGGCAGACAGAACATGTTCTAGTGAATTTTAGTAAGCTTCAGGGATCTTCAAATTGGCAGTGTTTAAGAGAGTGTCTTCTTTATTATATAATTCTCATAGTTTCTTGTGTATTCAGTGATTACATATGAACATATTTGTATAGCCCTTAATGAACATGATTACTTTAAAGTGAAAGGTACTACTGATTTATGATCCTTAAATATTATGCTCCTTAGAGTTTCAGAAATCTTCACTACGCTGGATGTCGCTAAAATAGTTTGGTGTCCCCAAAAGCTGAGATATAGTTATTTTTCACACCTTAAGCTTGTTGTTAATAATTGTTGCTGCTCAATATAAAACTTGTCCAACAGTGTCTTTGCTTTTCAAAATCACAGTAAACATATAACAACCCCCACTTTCTTTTCAAACTAGTTTTTCAGCTCACTGTGAAAACCCACAACACAGTTTCCACTCTTAAATACTTTACACGACATTTGGAATGTGGTGGTGGAATTTGTGTGCCCTAACTTGCTCTTTCAGAAGAAAGAAAACCTGCTTCCATTGATTTTCTGTTACTTTGTGACCAAAATAGTGCAGTGTGCTGAAGTCCCTTGTGCATGCTGAGCTGTTCTAGACGAGCAGGCTGACGGAGGCAGAGCTGTGGGCTAGGAAACGGAGTAGAAGGGAGATGACAGTATGTGAGCCTGTGAGATCCTCCCATGACAGTCGGCCCCAGACGAGGAAGCCAAGTAAACAACAACTTGAGCCTGGAGAAAGAAATAGAAAGAGAGACAGGGGAGAGCTCAGGAATAATATGACACAGCATGGAGGGGCTTCCGGAGAGGGTAATCAGTTTGGCCAGATACCCATGAAATACTGCACCATAGAGAGAGAGGAAGCGAGAGATGCTTCTAGTCGAAACAATATCTTTCTCATCCTTAGTCTTTAGAAAATAAGTCCATTGTTGTTTCTGCCTGAGAAGCCAAAACCCAATAACATGTGATGGCTATAGATGCCGCAGCAGTGAAACAACCATGTTTACTCCCTGTATTGACTTCTGAATCAAATTTGTATGCCATTTAAGCCTAAGGGTACATAGACCCATCACCCAGTTTGGAGTAGGAATGAAGAGAGATGAAGAGCCATTAGTTATATTGACCATATTCACTGATCAATATCCATTTATGATTCTGATACTGGTACATCTGGCTGAAGTGGCTCCTGCAGTGACGCTTTCTTTTCCCCTTTTCTCTCTCTTTATTCTGCCCTCTTTCCTTCCTTCCTGCCATTTCCTGATTCTCATCTAATGCAGAGGGTCTCTACCAGCTGGGAGGTCCTCGCTGTGCCCCTCAGAGCAGCATTGATGGATTGGAGGATATAGAGGTAGGATCATTATGAAGCCCAAACACCTATACAAATACCCACAGTTCTGCTTGTATGTAACACTCCTTCTTTTATCTTCCTATGTTTTTCGTTTTTCCAACCCTACCTGAACCCTTTTGCAGAGAAAATGCAAGACGCATGTGCTGCTGCTAGTGGTGCATGGGGGGGAACATTTTGGACACAGCAGGTGGAGACCCGAGCACAAAGTCTGGAGATGTGGACACCCTGACCTCCGTGCTGGAGAAGGTAACACGGGCACATTTCCAGGCTGCCGCAGAACACGTGAAGATAAAGCTGGTGCCATGTCCCGCTGTCTGCGCCGAGGCCTTCTCCCTGGTGTCCAAGTGAGTGCTCTTAGCTTAACAGGGGGTCTCATTAGCCCCTCACACACCTGCGTTTACAAGCGTCTCACATGGATAAAATCGATTTTATGGTGGTTTTAAAGGCTTTCGTTTACCTTAAGCTGCTACACACTCGCACTCCTAGATCTGTCTTTTTCATAATTGTTAACATTGTATTTTAAAAGAATCATGAAGATCCCTCTAGTGTAATTCTAAAGGTTTCAGTAATCTATACAGCTAGCATTAAAGCTGCTTTAATACACTTTCTCCGCTTTATTTGTAGCTTAGCCCCCCCAACCCAATCCCTTGGTAGAAGGAGGATCACATTATCCCATTTAAAGTGTGACAGGTAGTGTTCTCACATCATTTATTTCTCAAAAGGTTTCAGGAAAAGGAAGCACCTGTTGCCCTCATCGACACACATTTAGTAAAGGAATAATTGGTAGTGCATAATTCTCACCAGGTATAATGGGACTAGGGTTGCGGTCAAATTGCACAAAAAAACGCACCTATCCTCTTTTCCTAACCACTATTCCTTGACCTCTGTGAGAAACGTCACAGGGTTAAGGAATAGTTTCAAAAGGAATTAGGAATAGACGACCGGGCTTCAGAGAATCCGACTGCACTTACACTTTTGGGGCAGCATTTTCTCCTTTCCTTTCGTAAAGAAAGGTCCAGTGTTTACTAAGCTAAAGGAGGTTATAAAGGAAGTTCCAAAGCTCCTTTCCTATCATCTCAAGAATTCAAACAGCTCTTATCATTATTTCACTCAGTTAGAAACATTCCTAGGGTTAACTGACAATTGGAACGCAACCTACGAATAAGATAGATAATGGTTATTTCCTTTAAGTTGTCACCCATCTGTATATTTGTTTCCCTGAGCCAGATCTCAAAGCTGATTGCATCAATCATACTTTTCCATTGCTGCATGCAAATATGGGTAGGTGGTACTGCTGAATCTTAACATGAAAAATGCCAGAGGAATTATTTCCATTCTGTTGGGAAAATACTGAATGTACTCTTTCAATATCAGAGTAGCACATGATAACAAAGGCCTAACTGTAACTGTGTACGTAACCGGATGTATGATTACCTAGAAGAAGCTTATGAGACACTGTGTTGAACATACGATAGCTATGTTCCAACGATTAAACATGATGACACAGCCCCTAGGGAGATAGGCATATGACTGTCATGTTTATTGCTTACGCAGGCCTTAGCTAATCTGAACTATGTATCTTGTGACTGAATAACACCCTGTCTTGTATATAAGGCATCTGAAGGACACTGTTCGGGGAACTAGTTGTATCATATGCTCTGTATGTGATGACTACTTCCATTCTTGCAAGGATAATAAATACATGTATCCTGATTATTGAAACTCAAGCCGGTGACGAGTGATATTTTTTCTAACACATTCCATTTAATGAATTAACACAAACACATGGATAGACTATGAGTGACACATAATTAACCTTCAGCTGTTGAGTTTGCTGAAGTGCTTCCTTTCTGACACTTTAAAGTAACAGGGAGAAAGATGGCGAATTTCAGTGTCACATAAGCAGCCATTATCAGCTGCTAGACCCTGTAAGTAGTGACAAAGTTAGACTTAGAGTTAAGTTGTACGAAGTTTATAGAGATGGATGTATTAATGCCTTTTGAACTTCTCCCAGAAGATGAGCCAGAAACACGCCAAGTCATTTTTAATTTCAAGGAGAGATTTGGTGAAAAAGCGTTGCTCTTTGAGGGAGTTTAAAGAATCCTCTCAGGGTCAAGGAAAAAAACACATGAACATAAAATAATAATCATATCAACAATAAGAAAATCTGAAAACATTTCCAAAACACAACAAGAAGGTAGTGTGTTGGAGAACAGCACAGATGTTAATAAGGTGGAAATGGGTAATTCCACTTAGCTGATTCAGTTTTGGGGGTCCTGGTATTATGCCTGTTGATTCGCTGTCATGACTTAATGGGGCAATTGTACTGTGTAACAGAGTTAGTCTTATTTGTAAAACCTGGGCTTTTCATACCAAATATTGAAAATGTCTGCTGTGAAAATGTTTATTTTGACATCAGAGCGTGATCCGATCTTCTCAAGATGTATAAAATAGCATAATTGATAATAATTATGTTAGTTAACCTGGGTCAACCGCTTCCAACCGCTTCCCTGAATTTGTTTTTATGTTGTGTTTTTGTATTCAACCGACATTCTTACTAGCTTGATAGACGGACACAGTTGCTATAGAGCAGTTATGGTCTGACTGCTGAGAACTTTAATGTTACAGGAGGTATTTAAGGAATCTTAGCAGTACGAATGCATGCCTGCCAGAACAAATATAGCCTTGTTGGCTCAGAGGCTAATTGAGGAAATATATTGACCAAAGAACCCTTAACAGACAGTGCAGTATTAATTAGTATGCTGATGACATTTCTCAGCCCCTGCCAGCATGTGGCTATGTGGATTATTTTACTCCTAACCTTTTTAAGCGATGTTGTTTTGAATTGTTAACCCTCCAATGTGAAGGCAGCAACATGAATGGCTACATGACTTTATACAGTTTCCCTGAGGCATCTGCAAGGAATGTATGCACATATCTGTTTTTTCTATTAAGCTACTGTTCTTTTATAATCAGGTTTCACATGTGGTATCAATTTAGGAGTGGTAGTTAATTGTGGATGGCCGTTCCTCAGTGATGAACAGCAGTCAGGAGATGATTCTCCCCTTATTAAAAGTCATACAGCATTATCTTCATTAAAACTCACAGGTCCTTTTCCTTGCTGGAAGATTTATTTGAGAGGCAGAGGGTTATAATGTGTCTGTGTTCATGCGTTTGCTCTTTTTTTAGTCCTGTCTGCTGCCTGTGCAGAGAGTCGCTTAGGCGTAACTAATGATTTCATTTTACAGTTAATGCCACATGTCCCACTGGTCACCAGTTTTATCTTTGATAGCGTCACTTAGTTTTCGCTGCTCTCCAATTATATGCTAAGGATGTTATTGTCTGAATTGTCACTAATCACCGTAGCTGGGAGAATGCGTTTGGCAGTCAAGTCGAGGCTTGTCTGGTTTTGTGACTGACATTAGCAGGAGCGAGGCAGTGACTGGAAGGACAAGTGTAAAGAGATTTGAGTTCTGTAGCTTTTCGACAGCTTGACGCCTGCTTAGCTTTCACCACACCCTGAGATGAAATATTAAAAACAACAACTTCCCACTGGAGTGGAGCATTGCTGCCTTACTGCATTATTGCAGCCTGCTCTTGCATGTGCACACATTACATTTAAAAGAGACCAAGTAATATCGAAATGCTATCTCGCAAAGGAACAAAACTGTGTAATTAGGAAATACATAAAATGATCAATTAAGGAGAATTAAATATACAATTTCAATGGAAAAATAAAGAAATAACCAGAAACAGGTTGCGCAATGTGTAATAATTCCACAGTATTTATGTTGTTTTGAATTGTTATATTTACACTTTCTTTCCTACAGAAGGTTATTTTTATGGAGCCCCTAAAGGGACATCGAAAAAGAAGAAAAAAAGAGAGAGAGAAAAAAATAAAAGTCGGGATAACGGGTTAGTATCTCGTGAGCACAACTTTTTTTTTACATCATCAGTGTTGATCAGAGGACACACAGCACTGTCGCCCAGGAACCAGAGTCATATCAATCTGGTTCAACCCTTGCAACCCAATCATTTGCATGTAGAGCGGAAAACAATGGTATGTAAAAAGCAATGGTATAAACATCCGATTATTGTTTATGTTATTAAGGAGGAATATGTTTTACTAGCATGCTCCTTGTTGCTGCACAGATTCTTTGAGATCTCCCTCAAAAAGGGGTCCCTTTCGAGACTGTTCTGTAAAATTATTTGCTTTAAACGGTACCTAATTTTATCAACAGAATTGTGGTCTCTCCGTTTGTACATTCTCTCATAATGTAATTGTTCTGTTATAGCCTGACTAGATCTTTGAGGTGGATACATATATTATTATTTGATTGCTTAAAAAAAAATATCTAATAACAAAATACTGTCAGAAAGTCATTGTATTCTATGTTATGGTTACAATGTTATTTAAATGACCTCAAACCTATATTTTGGAATTTCTGTACTGCAATGTCTTTTTACATATCTGCTGTATAACTGCAGTTACATAATATACACTAGCTCTAATATATTCACCAAGTGAGATCTAGTATGGGGAACCAAACACTCAGCTCATGTTAAAAATCTCTGAAAACAATGAGAAGTTAATATTTGTTTTAGCTCTCTTCAGTGAAATTAAACAAAAGGTACGTATGCCTAGATGGCTCCAGGTCCTTAAAACTTGACAAATGACAATATGTGCAGTCAGTAGGCATTCATACAACCCACACAGCAGCAAAAAAACACTTATTCACCTTCAATTTGAACGGGCAGCAGTGTTTGCTCTAATGACAGTGTCAGACTTGTGGGTGTTCGGAGGTTCATTTATTTGCTTGCCAACATAAACAATGGAATGGCTGGCCCACGGGAAGGAATCACTGCTGTGTGGGTAATTTACTCAAATTCTGGGTAACAGCTTGGCAGAAAATCGCACCGCAGAGTCGAGGTGGCAAAACCTCTTAGCGCCTCAAAAACAAACTTTCACACAAACAGGAGACTTCTGTCACAGTGCTTTATAATTCCTTATTTACTGTAGGATGTCCCCATAGAGAATGAACATTTTTTTAAGCTTGTGTCGTCCTTGTTGCTGTGTTGGTGGAAGGCCTGCTGTGCTCAAAGTGGCTCCAAGCGCTCATTATTAGCTCTGCCTGCTAATGAACTAACCTAGCGCTGCTGGCAAGTAGCTGGGTGTCAAGACAACAGACGGGTGCTGTCCATAAATACGCTCGCACAAATACATCCCACACACAAAAAAATCCAACCCTGTCCAATTAACAGTGACAGTAAAAAGTCTCCCAAATTGATTTCCTGTCAAAGCCAACACACCGCCTTGGTCACAGTTTAACATAAACAAATAAAC